TTTGCGACATCAATAATCTTAGTTACTAAATGTACCATCTAACAAATGCTTGGTGATACAATGGAAGCTTCTAAGCAAGACTTAAAGGTGGCAATCAAGCTATAATTTCTATCTAGAAAGTCTCTGGTTGCACTACCAGAGCTTCTGGTTGCATGACCAGAGCTTCTGGTTGCATCTTACATAGGAAGGTATTAGGTAGCTCGTCCATTGGTCCTCTGATTCAATCTTACATAGAAAAGTAATGGATTTCTCGTCCATCGATCCTCTGGTTCCTCACACTTCGCAATCCAATGGATCTCCCGTCCATCGGTCTCTGGTTTCTCACACTTTGCATTACCAGAGCCTCTGGTTGCACCACCAGAGCTTCTGGTTCAACTTGCATACTTAAAAAAGTATTAGGTAACCCTTCCAACGGCCTCTGGTCCTTCTAACCAGAGCTTCTGGTCTATCATGATCACTTAATTATACAAGGAATTTTTCTACCCATCGCCTCTGGTCCTTCTAATCAGCGCTTCTAGTTCAACATGGACACTTAACAAAATAAGGGATTTTCTACCCATCGTCTCTGGTCCTTCTAACCAGCGCTTCTGGTCCAACATGGATACTTAACAAAATAAGGGATTTTNAAATAAGGGATTTTCTACCCATCGTCTCTGGTCCTTCTAACCAGCGCTTCTGGTCCAACATGGATACTTAACAAAATAAGGGATTTTCTACCCATTGTCTCTGGTCCTTCTAGGCCAATGGATATTCATAATGAGTGCAACACATAAAATCATGCTTTTCAAAACAATTTCTTTACTGGAGCATATCTCTAGTACAACCGATTAAGTTCTTCTTATTATATGTAAATTAAACACAGGTGATCAGACTTTGTTTAATCGACATATAATAATGTGACCCGCTTTAAAATCATATGTTTCTAAATTACTTGAAAACCCTTTTGAAATTTTTTTGTTATAGTCGATGGTTTTTAAGGAAAACCAGCGTTCTCTATAACTGAAGCTCTGATACCAAATCTGTCACACTCCGCTAAAGCGGAAACACGAGATGTAACAGGTAAGCGAGTCACAACAGCAATTAATAAATAATTTGAGTTTAACACTGATAACCAAAACGGGATAGTGTACTTCTTTTACAAAAACTTCAAATGCGAACTTAATCGGTCTTGCCACAAGTATGCTCCCAAAATGTTTCATTTCTTACTTATTACCTGAAAAGCATGGAACATAAAACAATGTCAACTACATAGAGTTGGTGAGTTTACGGGTTTTCACATGCACAAAATATTACAATGCATAAATTATTTATTTGCAAACTTATACGTAAACTTTTGCACTTAATAAATGTAAATCAACCACAATGTTTATACTTGAGACGCTACTGAGCCTTATCTGACCAACGTGCCCCCTTATTTTACGAACGACCATAAGTTGCCCGTACACTTACTTAGGTCCCACAGTTCGTAGTAGTACTAATTCAGCGGTGGTTCAAATTCCACATGATTAGACTAAGAAAACATAGGTAATGTGCACCCCTTTCTGGGTGGGACTGTCAACACAATAGCGGCTATCCACAATACCACGGCCCGGGGACGTGCCCGAGTTAACAAGTAGCGTTTACGGACGGAGACTTTATTTGGAAACATACTCCCAAGCACATCAATTTAGCATTTATTTTATAGTGCAAAAACAGTCAATATTTCATGACATAATAAACTTAACTAAATAGTTATTTAGTCTGATGGTTTCAAACAAAACTTGACTAAACAGTTCTTTAGTCCAATGGTTAAATAAATAAACAACATAGTTTGCTTAATCTCATGCTTTTCCTCTAGTTAAATAGCAAAAAACATTAAAAAGTGGGGCCGTGAGAACTCACTGGTTTGATGATGAATATCCAAGAACTTTGTGACGTTTGAAGCGCTAAACGTTCGCCCTAACCTTCCTAAACAGACCAACATCCAGAAATTAGATCACCTATGGGTACTCGACAAAGATAAAATTAAATTGTATCTTATGTAATGCCATCGGGTTTTTATAAATTTAAGTTGATATTTTATTATTTAATCTAAAAATAGCCCAAAAGTTATATATATATTAAAAGAAATCAAAGTCCTTTACCCAAAAGTTGATTTTTGGACAGATTATAAATTCTGTTCCAGGTGTTTTTGGGTTTCACAAATCATTATAAACAGGAACCTTCCAAAAGTCATTTTATGTTCACTTTTTACATCATTCAAAATAATGAGCTAAGCCGACAATTTCCAAATATCAAGAATTTTGAATGGATTTAAGTCACTCATTATTACCCTACAACCTTGAGTTACACAACCCCCAAAACAGATTGCACACTCTTTGAGTGACAGTCATTTGGGGTCTCGACTCATCATTTTTTCAAGGATCTTAACTTCATTTTCAGGCTAGCAAATAAAGTTGACCTCCAGAAAAGTATTTCCCGATTCCACTGAGTTTTGAGAAAGATAGGATTGATTTAAGATACATGCAAGAATCTGCCATGTTTCGAAATATACTTTACATGATTAAACTCTACATGCAAAGGATTTTCTCCTACTTTATTAAAGATCGAAGAACATGCATCATAGATTATCATCCTTTCGAAGACATTTTCATGTCTTTGATGCATAACCTTCCCCTTTTGAACTCTCCAGGAGTTTAATTTCAAGATCAAGAAGTAGGAGTAGGAAAATAATAATTTTGTTATTTTATAAAAGATAACTAGTATCATACCTTTTTTCTTAAAAATCTTGAATATTCTTCAAAATTGACAGAATTTTCCTAAAGACTTGCTTGAAGGAATCGGCTGGAAGGTGGTTTGTTTTAGAGAGAGAGAGTAGAGAGATGAAAAGCTTAGGCTGATGATATTTGGAAATGAGAGTTTTCAAAGGGTATGAGGTATTTATATGAGGATTTTAAAGAGAAAATGAGCTGACCTCTAAAGGCCCAAACCCAATAAAACTTTTATTTTTCTTAAATAAGAATAAACTCACTTAAATTTATAACCCACTATATAATTTACCCAAACATTAAAAAAATGACACTATTAATTCCAAAACTCCACCTTTTGATAAATTACTTGGACATTCAAATGGGATTTTTGTATTTTAATTTAAAAGTTTATAATATCAACTTTATTTTATTTGGAGCATTTCTAAAATATTTGGCATTACACAAGTCGACTTCATCAGTTACCCGCTAAGCGTGATCTTCCGAACTAAACTTGGGAACTAAGCCAGATGAACTCTAATCATCATGACTAGATCCTAGTAAAATATAATTCTCAATATAGGATATATAATAAGGTGTTGACCTGAAGCTCAGAAATGACAGAATGTCACAGTACCGTACTATACTCTAGAAAGGGTATGAGTTTGTCCTTTGTGTGGAAGGACAAGACAAAAACAATCTTGCACAACAAGCTTCATTTGATCGTTGAATGCTATTATAACACTGAAGGTCTCTTAAGCATTCGCTGAGACTTGGGCAGTCTTCACACATATGTTGACCAGGTTGTAATCACTGAATGCCGTTTCAGATCACGAAAGCGCTAGTCACTAATCTTCAGTCTCAGTCTTCGACTTTCACCGAAGGTTCTTTGGTGTGAGTTTTGTCTTCTTGAAGTATCGTTGTCGTTGTAGGATTTACAATACATGTTTCAGCGATCACTGAATAGACTCAGTGATGATCGTTGGAACTGAAAGAACAGAAATAGTTAAAAGTGATTATCATCAAATCATGGAAGAGAGAGGATCAACAAAGGACATCAAGTTTCTTGAGACAAAAGCTCTGTATAGTACATACAGAGGTTCAGTAGTAGAAACTTGAGTTTTCGAGAAACTAAAGGACATTTTGACCAAGTTTCTTGAGACAGAAGCTCTGCATAGTACATACAGAGGTTCTGTATTAGAAACTTTAAGTCTTCAGGGAAATCAAGGATATTGAAATCAAGTTTCTTGGGACATAAGCTCTGTATAGTACATGTAGAGGCTCTGTATTAAAAACTTGAGTTTTCAAGAAAACTAAAGGATATTTGAACCGAGTTTCTTGGGATAGAAGCTCTGTATAGTACATATAGAGGCTCTATATTCTTGGCGATCCAACACTTCCACCTTCATAGATACGGTCTGTGTTCCTCCCTCTTAAACTATGCATGGATCAAAAGTGATAAGATATGCTCGAGCTATAGTTCAAGGTACAGAGACTCTGTATAGTAGATATATAGAGACTCTGTATGACAGACTTAAAAAATCGACATAATTTAACCAAGAGGCTTTGCATAGTACATGCAGAGGTTCTGTCTCATGGACTTGGAAGAATTCCAAACATGAACAAAGAGGCTTTGCATAGTATATGTAGAGGCTCTATGTCATGGACTTGGCAAGTAAACAAACTTGAACCAAGAGACTCTGCACAGTACATGCAGAGTCTCTGTCTCATGGACTTGGCAAGTAAACAAATTTGAACCAAGTTTGTCTCATGTACTTAGAAAAATGGATAGATCTATGCTCAATGCGAGTGCAGAAGCTCTGTATAGTACATACAAAGGCTCTGACTTATCATTGTATATTGAGCATACCCAACTTGCTGACCAAGAAATTGGATCTTTTTTCATCAAGAGCCTTTGTGAATATATCTTCAAGTTGGTGATATGTGTTAACAAAGAACATTTCAATCGTATCTTTTTCCACATGATCTTTGATGTAGTGGTATCGAACATTAATATGCTATTGTTCTACCTTTTTTGGTGGTACAAAAAAACTCAAGAATAGTCCTATCTAATCTTACTTTTGTCTCATGTTGTTCTATCTCATTTTTGTACCATATCATATCAAACTTGAGAATATTTATTTTTGTCCCGTCTCGTCCCGTCCAAATATGAGTTTATGTGAGTTTTAAAGTTTAATACCAATATACATTGAAAGAGAGAAAAGAACTCCGTTATTCAACCCTCGGTGCTTTCTTTCTACACTTCTCTGTTCTTCTGTCTGCTGTATAAATGATCATGAACGATTGACATTTTACCCACCAAAAAATGATCTTCATCAATCTCAGTTAACGTGTTCCACTGATCTGCGAAGTCTGCGTTCTCTGTAATCTAGACAGAGATAGAAGGTGACTTTGCTGTCAACACCGATCTGGGGGAATTTCCTAAACCATAATGCTGTTGAATTTGAAACCCTTCAATTCATTCGCCATAACAATGATGATAGGTTTGTCACTCCTAATCCTCTTTTGTTATATTTTCCTCGATTTTCCCTCCGCCACCACTTCTACAATCCCAATTTCAAGAAGCCAAAGTCTAAGTCAACTTCAATTACATCCCCGATCTGATCCAGACCCGTTTCAACACTTGTTGGGTGCTTTCAGAAGATGGGATTCTCAAGTGGGTTGTTTTAATTTTAGAGAAAAACATGTGAGTTTGGTGGAAAAAGGGTCAAATTCGTCATCTTTGCAAGTGGGTAATGGTCGTGAATATCAATGTAGCGATTTGAAGATGAATCATGTGGGTATTTTAATAAAAGGATGGACTTGGATTCCTGATAATTTGGATAACTTGTATACATGTGGATGCGGGTTGACATGTTTGTGGACGAAATCTTCCGTTCTTCTCGATAAACCGGATGCCCTGTTCTTTGAGACCACCACTCCTCCATCTCGGGTACATTATTTAGCCATTTATACGTAAATTTTCTTTCTTCTTTATATGTTTTTCGATGCAATCTAGCATTTGTCCCTGGTTATTCCGTCTAAAACAACTAATTCCTTGCATAATTAGAAGATGCCCCCGCCCTTACAGATCCATTTTTTATTTTTGTACATTAAATTCTATAACAAACATGTTTTTTGGAATTTATCTCCAAAGTGATCCTGTTTTCATAGCATCCCTGAACCCAAAATAATTCTTATCAATTTAGAAGTTGAAAGGATTCCCTTTGAGACTCAAAATCAATGTGTGCCTAGAAAAGAGTAGTACTTATTCTGTCGCCTTTGTAATTTTTTTATTTTAGTTTAGCTCAAGGAAATTTTTATTATAAGCTATGCTTCATGGGATATACTTTGATCTAGTTTGTTGTTATTAGCTATGCTGGCTATGATCAAGGGGCAGTGATGTACCTATGTAGGAGTTAGGGAGTGATTGTTTAGTCATTGCAAATCTAGAATTCTTGTGTAGATATCTTTTTTAGAATCATACTCTTGTAGTTGGTAGATATTTAGTTCAAAATTAGGTAGTTAAAAAAGTTTTTATTGCCATGAAACTAGTAACTCAGCTATAGGCACGCTTAAGTTTTTTGTGCAATGCTGGTTCTCAGTTTTTACTTCTGTCAGCAGACTATAGTTGAATTCAGATCTTTTGATGGGGTTGTAGAAGATAAGTTTAGTCATTTGGTTTTCCATAACTGATTCCTTGCAAGAATACACTTGTGTGATGGGGAAGAGAAGGGGAATATGTTGGCAATGTTAGGGATGAAGCTGTAGTGTATATTCTTCGATCAGGTAGTTCACATTAACCACGTCTTTAGGTGATCCAGTTCTAACTAGTTCCCAACATTTTATATTATGAATGCAAATATAATATCACACTGTTTGCTAGTCACTTTTATTTGATTTTAAAAGCTTTAAGAGAATATTAGTAGGTGAAAGCTTAATCGTATATTTCACTGTTATGAAAAATAGAATACAAGGAATCTTATTAATAACCAAGCTACCACCTTAGAAAAAGGGAAACTAAGAAACATACTACAACTAGGAGACCCTTTAAAAATAATTACATAATAAGGAAACTCCTAATCCAGACCTGATTGATCCCAATACCCCTTATTCTAGACCTATCGATATCCTATTATCGTTTACACTCCCCCCCAAGCTGGATGGTACAGATTGTACAGTCCAAGCTTGTGAACAAACTTTTCAATGTCTGGTCTGAATAAGGCTTTTGTTAGGATGTCAGCTGTTGTTGAGAAGTAGAAATGCATTCTACTGAAATGACCTTTGCACCAATCTTCTCTTTGATATAATGTCTATCCATTCTTACATGCTTAGTACGGTCATGATGAACAGGATTTAGACACATTCCTATGGCGGACTTGTTGTCACACTGATAGGTCTTTTGAATTCGATACCCAGTTCTTCAAGAAGTAGCTCCAGCCATAATGCCTCATCTACTCCTCAGGATAACGATCTAAGTTCAGCTTATGCACTACTCTTAGCCCCTAGAGGCTGTTTCCTGCTCCTCCAAGTGACTAAACTTCCCATTACAAAGCTATAGTAACCCGAGGTGGATCTACTATCTCCGAATGAACTGCTCCAAGAAGCATCCGTGAAAACATCAACTGTATTGTTCCCTTCATTTTTCCTGAAGAACAGTCCTTTACCTGGGTCCCTATAGATACCGTAGGATCCTATACACTGCTCCCATATGTGTTGTAGTAGGTGAGTGCATAAATTGGCTTACACGGCTAACTGGGAAAGCAATATTTGGTCGGGTGTAAGATAAGTAGGTTAATTTCCCACTAACCTTTGATATCGGCCTTTGTCAACTGGTTGATTGAGTTGTTCGTTAGCATTCTTATTCTTTTTTATGTAACTCCTATATCATTAATTGGGAGTTACAAAATCATAAAATCCCATGATTTGTGTTAACTTATTATTAATCTTGTTATTTTTTTTAATATTGATTTTTCTATCTCTAATGTTTCTGAATTTGTGATTGGTGGAGGAGACACGGTAGTAAAGTTTTCGGTATCGTTCAAATTGACATATACAAAAGATGATGAACATGTGTGACCATATGAACACAAATTCACATATGAGAACATTCGTACAACCATATAAACACAACTCCACATATATAAACCATTGTGTCAATTACGAACACAAATTGACATATATGAACACTTGTGTCAATTACGAAAACAGATTGACCTATATGTACAGTTGGTATAAATATGAACACATATTAACCCAAATGAACATACGAAAGATGATGAACATGTGTGACTATGAACACAAATTCACATATATGAACATTCGTACAACCATATGAACACAACTCGACATATATGAATCCTTGTGTCAATGACGAACACAAATTGACATATATGAACCTTTGTGTCAATTACGAACACAGATCGACATATATGTACAGTTGGTATAAATATGAACACATATTGACACAAATAAACATACGAAAGATGATGAACATGTGTGACCATATGAACACAAATTCACATATATGAACATTCGTACAACCATATGAACACAACTCGACATATATGAACCCTTGTGTCAATTACGAACACAAATTGACATATATAAACCCTTGTGTCAAATACAAACACAAATTGTTTATGGCTTTTTTCCATATACACCCCTGTTCACACATGAACAATTCCCATAAATATCGAATACTTGTTCACATATGAACCATTAACAAAAAAATAAAATGTAGAAGAATATGGTGTCGGAGATCTTGCTGTTGGTTTTGATTCGATGACGAGATTAATTCTCGGACAATTACATTGTTATTAATGGGCAGTTACAAAACATCCCATTGTCATTAATGGGCGGTTACAAAACATCTCATTGTCATTAACGGACAACTAAAATCTTTTCCCAAAATACCCCTTGTATATATTGTTCACTTATGTTACTTTGTCTCTATGTGCAATTAATTACGCTTTATGTCATGAATGATCTTAGCCACAACTTTCAAAGATCAATGGCCAAGATTGATCAACAAAGTTAACACAATAAACTTGGTTAACATTTGAACCAACCCCTATATATATAGGTGAAGGATCGTGTGAGAAGAGAAGTTATGGTGAGGAAAGAAGAGATCTGAACCCTTGATCACTTTTGATCTCAAGCCCACCCATGACTTGCACTTTAGAAGGGAATTGATCCGGTGCATCTCGGTGCACCTCATTTGTTGATCCCAGATCTCTCAATAACACTTATAATCTAGTTATGAATAACCAAATTATAATGATTTTATGAAGAAAGTTAAGAAGACTCAAAATTAATATATGAATATTAAAGAACAATTTGAGCTTCAAAGGTTTTACTTTATTGATAATAAAACGTAAAACACAAAGAGGACTTTT